GTGACCAATTCAGCTTGGATTCCTCTCCCAGAACTAGAAGCCAAGCTGCCTGAGCCCCACACTCCTGAGAAAATGGAATTTGGGGACGGCCGGGCACAGCTGGTGTCCAGGGGAGGTGTGACTGGGAGAGAAGGTGGAGGGGGAAGGTAAGGAACGTGCCTTTAGCCTTAGTGTCTATTAAGCAAGTTGGCGGGAACCAGAGCCCAGGTGTGGGGACCAGACCCCTGCCTCTGGCGAGTCCCAGCCGTCAACCTAGGCTGTGGCCCCACCCAGGGTCCGGAGAGCTCTGGAGGCAGACGGGCTAAGGGCAGGCAGCTGCTCCCCTTAGACCAGGGGTGGGAAAGGTATAAGGCCCAAGAAATCATTTGGTCTGGCCCTGCCGAGGCATCAGGGCGAGTTAGTTCAATGTCTGACCAAATACAGCAGGCTAATGTTTAAGACGATAATTTTGAATGGCCAGCGAATGATGTTATAAATATCCAAATGGCCCCTGGCAGGAAAAAGGATCCCCACCTGCCTTAGGCTGCGGGATAGACGGAGGGGCGACTTCAAGCTCCTTGACTGGAGCGGCTGGGATCCCACCATGTCCTGTCCTCCCCGGGTCCCGCAGGGAGAGAGCCCTTGCCCTCCTGGTGGCCTCCAGCCGGTGGGGTCGAGGCTGCGGCCTCCCGGTGCTCGTCATGCTCCGGACAGCTGGCCGGAGGGTGGACCAGGTGGCGCCTCTCAGTGCAGCAGAGATGGTGGATCAAGTCTTACTTCAGGAGGTCGCTCGGGGAGAGACCTTAGGCCACCTTCCGGTCCCAGGGCTAGCTGTCCGCCTTCTTCGCGCGGTGGAAGAGGTTACAGAAGAACTCGTACCAGAAGAACATGAGGCCGGTGGAGAGGGCAGCCTTCAGCAGGCTGGGGGACAGGCCCTTGAAGAAGCCCGGCACGCCTTCCTCCCGCAGCACCTGCCTGGCGCAATCCAGGAGGCCCTGGTAGCTTCGAACCTGGGGAGAGGAAGGTTGCTCCGGGTGAGGGGAGGGGAGTACAACACGGACGAGGCTCTATCCTTTTGTCAGCACGATGCCTAGCACATCGTAGCTCCGAATACATACGTGCTGGGTGAAGGAATGGGTGCAAAAGAGACAGAGAAAAAGTTAACCCCATTCTTTCTCTTCCAAGTTGAAGTGCCTGGAACTCGGCACTGGACAGAGCTCCTTCCTGCCCAAGCGGCTCCCGCTGGTTCTGATTCTTAAGGACCCAGTGAGAGCTCTGGACCCTCTTCCCAGAGGCACCTCTGCCCCTCCCCCCATCCCACCTGGTCCCTCTTGGGCAGCAGATCCGAACCTGGCCCTCCTTAGCTCTTCGCCTGACCTGTGCCACCCTCCCGCCCGGCCTTCTCCAGGCGACCATGCTCCCTGCAAAGGCTCCAGTGACTCCCGATGACGATGACCAGGCAGTGACCTCATGAACAACCAAGTCCAAGCTCAGGCCCCGTGTTCGTTTGGAACTCAGCTTCCCTCTCTGCCCTGCCCTTCTCCCACCCCAGTGGGGGCAGGATCAGAGCTGTCGGCAGGGGACGGCTCACCTGGCCGAAGCTGGCTCGGGCCTGCTCGAACCCTCCGACCTGCAGCCGCTTCTTGAAGAGGTCCAGGGGATACGTGAGGGTCTTGCTGATGACTCCGGCTCCACTGCCGCAGAGCAGGTTTTTGAGGTTCCCTGAACCAGAAGAGTGGGAATGAGGGGGGAAATGAGGAAAATGCAATTGCGGGTAGACAAGTTCAAGGTCATGAACTTTGTCCTCCACCATAAAACAAAAACCCACAAGCCATCCTTGCTCTCCGAGGAATTTAGTCCAGGAAACAGAGAGCCAGACACAGCCACTTCTGGCAAGAACGACACGGGACCGCAGATGGGACAGGTGGTGGCAGCACGGGTGAGAGTCACTGGTGCTCTGCCTCCCCCGCCGGAGGCCGTGAGGGCCTTGGGCTCTGCCATGTCACTCAGCTCAGGCTCAAGGGGAACAGGATGTCCCTCCTCCTGCACATCCTTCCAGAACAAAACCCAGCAGAACACACAGCCCATCGCAGGCAGTCCGAAAGGTGGTAGTTGGAAACGTCGCTGGTGCCACTGATGGGTGTGAGCGGCTGCCTGGCAGAGCGGGCTCAGAGCCCTGTGGTGTCTAAGCTCTGACAGGAATCTCTATTTCCCACGCGATGCAGAGAGACGTGATGTCTTGGGAGTGGGGTGAAGGGAGACCTAGCTCCTTTCCCGCGCGGCTGTCTCACCGTTTTTCTTTCCTTCGGCTGGCGTGACCCACTCGTACACGTGCTTCAGGGAGTTGTAGAAGGAGAACTGGAAGCCGGCGTAGGGGAAGATGGCGATCAAGGTGGGGTTCAGGCCTTTGTAGAAGACCAGGGGGCCTTCGGTCCTGTACATGGTGGCCACGGCGGCCCGCAGGGTTTTGTACACCTGGATGCACACACGCAACTCGAGTGAGCGCAGCGCCGGTGTTAGCCTGAGAACACAGCCCACCACGTGCACGCCCCGCTCCTGCACACCCAGGAGCGTTACTTCTGCCAAGAGGACACAGGACGTGCTGGACAAAATCCCAAGTGGGCTTTCCCAGTGACCCGTCCAAGCTGTTTACATGACTGATCCATCCCCGGGCGACCCTGCTCCCCCCAGAGGCTCCAGTAACACGTGAGGGCACAAAGCACGTGTCCTTTGGAACAGAAGACGCGACATCCCCCCTCGGGTGACTGGGTACATGAGTTATGACACAGCCATTAAAAAGGACACGGGAACATGCTGTCACTGCTGAAGCAGGAGGAGGCAATCTGTGTGGCTGACGGGACTAATCCCCAAAGGTCACAGCCAAGCACAGGGGAGCAGGCAGCGTCTGTGGAGGAAACGAACACGGGCAGGGAAACCGGGCCCCAGGATGCCCAGGTACATCTCCCTTTCGCACACACACACACACACACACACACACACACGTGTGCGCTACTACCGTATGTCCAGGAAACACAGAGTATGGTGGAGAGGTCTACTTCAGGGTTTAATCCCTTGCTTTCACTCAGTAAGTTCTTCCTGAACTTCATTACCCCATTTCCTCCCATCCTTTGTGGGAACCAGACAGTCCTCACAATAGCATTTCGATCAGCCATCTGACCTGGAGGCTCACATTCCCAGGCGTTGTCCCTGCCCAGCCCGCTGTGTGGTGTGTCCTGTTCCCACCCGGAGGCTCTGGCTCCCCCATGAGGCCGTGAGCACAGTGCGAGGTGCTCATGAGCACGGTTCCAGGTCTCACAAAGGAAAACCCCCCTCGTCCAGCTTTGCTCCCTCCCAGGAAAAGAGCCCCAACTCCTGGGCCACCTTCGGTTACTCAGGCGCCCCTCCTCTGGCCGGGCCACTGACCTTGGGCTCACCCTGAGCTGCAAAGCGGGTGCGCAGGACGTCCACGGGGTGCACGGTGAGGGTGGCCACGCAGGCAGACAGGCCGCCGCACACGAAGTGCACGGAGAAGTCGCGGGCACTGTGCACGCCGGCTCTGTGCACCAGCTCGGTCAGCATTTCAAACGACAAAAACTGCAAGAGCGAAGAGAAGGTCATTGACAGGCACCCAAACAGACCGCCTCTGACCCACGACCCAGGTGGGGCCCAGTCCTAGGGACAAGGAAAGAGTCCTCCTGAGCAGTGACAATACAATAGACATAATTTTGTGCAGCTCAGATGCCATTTTAGATTCTACTGGAGTAGAGCCAAGTACTCAAAAAGGTTAAGAAAATATAAAACTTTTATATCAGAAAATTCTAGCCCAGCTGGCGTGGCTCAGTGGTCGAGCGTTGACCTATGAACCAGGAGATCACGGTTGATTCTAGGTCAGGGCACATGCCCTGGTTGAGGGCTCGATCCTCAGTGGGGGAGAGTGTACAGGAGGCAGCCGATCAATGATTCTCTCATCATCATTGATGTTTCCAACTCTCTCCCTCTCCCTTCCTCTCTGAAATCAATAATAAAGATATATTTTTAAAAAATTCTACTCATTAACTTAGTTTCCTGAAACCTGAGAAAAGGTGGCCATTATAGAGCCTCGCCAGGGGACCCCTCCAGTGCAGCCGGCGGCAGTGACACTGAGAAGCATTCCGCCCGGAGCAAGGATTCTGATGGGAGAACTCCACTTATTCCATGTTCCACGTGTTACCTGCGTACACTCAGGTCTCCCTCCAGCCTGTTCGAGGCGGCTCGGGGTCCTAGAGCACAGGTGGCTGTACTGACTCCCATGCTGTGGCACCTGTGGCAGGGGCGCCCACGGGACAGCCACGAAATGGCAGATGTGATGTTGTAGAAAGGGCAGGCAGGGACTACTCTAGTGCTAGCTCTCCAGGGGGGAATCCTGGCTCTTCCACTTTCTAAAACTATTTTTTAAATATATTTTTTATTGATTTTTACAGAGAGGAAGAGAGAGGGATAGAGAGTTAGAAACATCAATGAGAAAGAAATATCCAGCAGCTGTCTTCCGCACGTCCCCTATTGGGAATGGAGCCTGCAACCAAGGTACATGCCCTTGACTGGAATCGAACCCGGGACCTTTCAGTCCATGGGCCGACGCTCTATCCACTGAGCCAAACCAGTCAGGGCCACTTTCTAGCTGCTGACTTTGGTTGGGTTAACTATTTAAGCTCTCTCTGCCTCAGTCTTCTTGTCTGTAAAATAGGGATGACAACAACCTATCTCAAAGTACTGCTGCGAGGGAACAGAGGTGAAATGGTTAAAACAGGGCCTGGCCCACAGTGAGCACTGGACAGGGGTTCTACACCACGTGTCACACGCTCCGAGATAAACCGGCACTCGGCTGAGGATGAACGAAGCCCCACCGCTTACAGCTCACTTCACGTCTCCGACCCACACATCGCTTGCTCTTGCCTTCCTCACAAGGCTGTTGGGAAGTTCAAGGGAAGCACAGATGTGGAAATGCAATTTTGAAAAGTGAAAAGCATTGTGTCACCATTTGCCAAGTCCCATTGGGAGTGTGAGGTCAAGAGAGCCTCCCTAATACTCAGTGGGCGCCCAGTCTCTGGGGCGGGGGGACGTGGGGAAGGGAAGGCCGATGGCGCAGCTCAGTCTGACTCAGTCCATCTGTCAGGTAGGTTCCCCGTTGAGACACGTGAGAAGTGTGGTGACCGCCGCCTGCCGCCCGACCCCTCGTCCTTGTGCTGCTCCGTTGAGCAACCCGGCCCCAGGGGCCTGGCGGCTCCCCACACCTACTTGGACGGCTCCATAGCCGATGGAGAGAAGCTGGGCTGGAATGTGTCCCTTCCAGAAGGCGGTCGGGCCCTCCTCCCGCAGGATCTGCCTCCCGGCCTGCAGGATCCCATGGTACTTCGCGTTGGGGTCCCTGCGAGACAGGCGCTCAATCTGAAGCTGGAACGAAAATGGAAAGGTCAGGACAGGAGGGGCGGGGCTGGAGGAGAAGGCGAAATTTCAGGAAAGGCAACGAAGGCAACGTTCTCGACAAAATTCCAAGCTTTTAGGAACTGCTTTGGCATGAAAGAGTGACCCTGACCAGTCCGTCCATCACGTGGGAAAAGGGGGAAAGGGTACCTGGAAACGGATCTTGATGACGTCCAAGGGGCTGATCAGCGCCCGAGTGACAAGTCCAGACACGGACCCAGACACGGCCACCTCCAATTTGGAGATACTCCTGTCATCTGCTTTGGGGTCATAGCCGACCATCCCTGCCTCCGGCCCACACAATGTCCATCAGCTTCAAGCTAAATGCAAAAAACAGGAGGAGACACCCGATCAGGTTCTCAGGGTCTCTGCTCGCACATCACCCCTCAGAGCAGCCCTCCCTGATCAGCCATCTGAAACAGTGCCTGCTGCGGACGCAGCACAGAGCAGAGAGAATACCATCATAGGTCTGGACTTCTGCCCTGCTCAGATTTTAGACGTATGAGCATCAATTGCCAATTCCAGTTGATGTGAACCAAACTGTCCCTGGTCGAGAACCGTTGTTGGAGAGGGGTTTTACACACGAGCATGGGTGTACAATGGCATGCATTGCATCACCGTTTGTAAAACTAGGTCTGACACAAATGCTTATCAATGGAGAGGTGGACAAATACACTGAGTCACATCCATGTGATGGCATATACAGCCATTAAAAGGACAGCCAGTGCTACACACACGGAAAAGATGTCCACGACAGATTGAAATATGAAAGAAAAAGTAGGTTTCAGAGGAAAACAGCAAGACCTAAATACACTTTGTTCAGCTGTATAACGCGAAGGGGAAAGTCTGCGACAACACCCTCCATGGGCTGGTAAGGTTACCTTTGGGGGAAGGGTTGGCAAGGGAAGGGGGAAGGTAGATTTCTCCCTTTTTCTGAATACACTTCTATATAGTTTGGCTTTGTTATGCCCCCACCCCCAATTCCAACTAAAACTAAATATAAAATGACTTTAGAAGGGAACTCAGAATTAATCTAGGTCTTGAATACTTTAGTAATAGAAAAGTCAGTGACCACACCATGACAACCTTCGCCCCACTGATTTTCTTTTTTTTTTAATTGATTTTTAGAGAGAGGAAGGGGAAGGGAGGGAGAGATAATGCTCCAATCCACCCTCAAAACCAGCACGAGATTTCCACGGAGCTCTATCAGCAAAGTATCCTAAGATGACATTTTATTAAAATGTCAATGATGTGAAACCCCCCATGTCCTGCCAGGAATGTGCCCATTTCTTGGTACCTTTTCTCCCTCAAAGGAGGACACCTGGCCTTTCCCAACCACTTCTCCGTCACATTAACTCGAGCTGTTTCTCCCCGGGCCCCTGCGAGGAGCAGGTTAAACAGGGTAGGAGCCCGAGGGAGAGCCTCTCCGGCTCCCAGGGACTGCTCGGTCCCAGGCTGTGGGGGAAAGGAGGTATTTCTCTAACTCAGCAGCTCTGCATAGCTGGACCTCACCTCCGATCTCAGCCTCTCCCAGGGCCCTGGGCAGGTTTATTTAACCTGCGCTCAGTTTTCCCTTCTGGAAAGTGAGAATGACGCCCGCCCTGCCTCGCCCAGACTGCTGCCACACGTGATAAGCTTTGTCAAAGTGGTAAAAGTCTCACACACCTGAAAGGGCTTTAAAGATAGTGGCCTTACTTTTTCTGCTGTTCAAAATTTCCTTCTTGTACCAATCATCTAAGGAGACAAAATAAAAATGAAATGTGATTATATGTTTGGTATATACAACACAGCACCCAGAAGATGGGGGGCCTCCGGTGTGAGTGGCAGGGCGGGTGGGGGTGTGTGTGCCTTAGCCGCCCCCGTCTCTTACTGCGGAAGCCCCGGTGTCTGGGTCTGCAGCTGGGAGGTCTGCCCATGTGTTCAGCTAAGGCTCTCTGCAGATGCACCCGCGTGTAGACACGGGCGTCTGGGTGTGGGCTCTCTGCAGATGCACCCGCGTGTAGACACGGGTGTCTAGGTGTGGGCTCTCTGCAGATGCACCCGCGTGTAGACACGGGTGTCTGGGTGTGCCTCGGGAGTGCTTTTGCTCCCTGAGTCCGAGACGATGCCCGCGAGGTGGGCACCCGCGTGTACAGGTGCCCCGGGTGTGCGTGGGGTTTTGCCTTCCGCGTCCCTGAAGAGGCTTCTCAGGTCGGGCATGACACACGTGCGTACAGTCCCCGCCCCCGCGTGAATACCTGCGCATGTGTGCTCCCTCCGGGGAGCGACGGTGCAGGTGTCCGAACGGGCGGCGAGACGCGCGGAAGTAGAGGTCACTCACTCCGCTCGGAGGGCGCCGCCCGGCTCTACTAGCTCTGCTCTCCCTCCTTCCTCACGCAGGCTTAACAGCAAAAGTCAACTGCGCCCCGCAGTAACTGACGGGCGCCTGGGCCAATCACCGCGGAGCTTCCGACAGACTTTGGGCCAATGTTTGGACAGTGGTCATCCGGATAACATCGCCCACAAGGTGTCACTGGGTAATGTAGTCCTTCGCTACCAAGGCTTTTTCCCCTGCGAGGCGCAGAGCCTCCTGGGAGATGTAGTCGGTGTCACTGGGTAATGTAGTCCTTCGCTACCAAGGCTCGAGGCGCAGAGCCTCCTGGGAGGTGTAGTCCTGCAGAGCGCGCGTGCGCGGATGTTACTCAAGCATCGTAAGGAAGCGGGTTCCGAAGTTA